ACCCCAAAATTAAAAAAAAAAAGAACTTGATTAATAACACCCAAGAGCAAACTTAAGTGAATGAGTGTCACCTCTGGAGAAAATCCCAGTGACAAGTTGTCAGCTATGTCCTAGGCCTGCTCAAAATATCAGTGGTTTTTACCAGTGACGACTAGAGGCTTATCCCAGGGTCCCTCCCAGACTTACTGAACTGGAATTTCCAGGTGGCATGGGGGCCAGGAACAGGCTACAGGAAGGCCTCAGGCAGAAGGAGGAATTAAGGGAGGATGTTGACCACCTTGTGCAGCTGAAGCCAAGCAGAGCGGAAAGGTGACCTGCTGGAGGATGTTCAGGCTTCAGAGCCATCTCAGCAGGTGCAGAGAGATGGGCTGACATATCAGTGTGTAAACGAGCAATCTTGCATTTGACTTTGAAAACCAGCCAGACATAAGATGGTAAGGCAGCCAGATCTGTGACCAGCCTGGGACTGTCAGTAAGCTGTGGATTCTGTGATCAACAACAGTGGGTGTCAAGCTTCAAAGACATCTCATGATGTGAGAGGGGGTGTGATGCAGCCTTATTCTCTATGTCCCAAAAGCATCCTGTCCAGAGTACAGACACACTCAGGGAGGCCAGAGGAGCATGACCAAGACAGAAAAGGGACTCCAGCCCAGGCCTGTGAGGATCACCCAGAGAAGCTGTTTAGTCTGGAAATTCCAAAGGAACCAGACCTCCACCCTGAATTGCCTCAAGGGCTAACATGTGGAAGGACTTTTGCTGTAGGATCCAACCGGTAGATCCAGAACCAATGAGTGATATGAGACTAATTTGATGGAAGGAAGCTCTTTCCAATAGTAGGAGCAACCCAAAGAGTCAGAAATGGTAGGTAGTTTGCTGTGAGAATTATTAAATGTATGTACACTCCTAACTAGCATTTATGGTAATGTCTTGTTTTATGCACATTTTATGCATATGTGTGTGTGTGTGTCTGTGTGTCTGTGTGTGTATGTGTGTGTGCGCGCATGCGCATACCCTTCCTACAATTGGGTAAATTCTCTGCTGACTGAAAACATCTTATCTTCATATTCCTAGATCCAGAATAGCCCTGTCACATCTATGTGCTAAATAATCTTATTTGAATGAATGAGTTCATTATGGCTGGATGTTGCCAGAGTGTTGTTATAGAGGTGATTCATGCTGTGCAACTATAATGTTCTTCCAAACAGCAGGTCCTATGATCACTGAAAAATTCCACATAAACCTGCTTTCCCTGGAGACAGGCATCCTTTGCATATTCACAGACAATTTGGAATTTAGATAAAATGAATTATCTAATAATTATGGCTAATATTCACTTTGACGATCTTAAAAATTAAGTATGATTGGTAATAATTTTTGTCAAAGTTTCCGTACTCCATGTTAATATATTTAGAGCCCCATCTAAGCTGAGTGTGGTGGTACACACCTGAAATCCCAGCTACTAAGGAGACTGAGGCAGGAGGATCAAAATTTGAGGCCAGCCTGGACAATTTAGCAGACCCTGTATCAAAATAAAAACTAAAAGGACTGGGGATATAGCTCAGTGGTAGAGCGTCCCTGGGTTCCACCCCTACTACTGCTAAATAAATAAATTAAATTAAATATAAAGCTCCATCTGTTTAGGAAATCTGATCCTTACAGTGGAAATCGGATCCTTCCATCTGTGACCCAGTTTAAGGGCTTTCGCTCTAGGCTACCTTTAAATATCACCACATCTTGGTCTGGGGCATTTACTGTTTCACCCACTGATATTATCAGCTTAGCAGGGGCACACTTGCCTGCTGGCTGAGATTCTCCTCAAAACATCCCAGTGTGTAGGTTAACCCAAAGGAGTTCAAGTTCAATGGTGTGGCCTTTGTAGTTACTAAGGTCATCTATGCACATCACATCCTCCTTAAGGGAACCCCAAATAAATCCAGTCCTCTCTGTTGCATGGGTCTGAGCTTGGAACACCTCTAAAATTTGAGGTAGCTTTTGAAACCATCCTCTGCTGTTGCCTCCATGCAGGAGCCAACGTGCTGTAGTCAAGCTTCCAAAGGAAAGGGCCACGTCTCCAGGGAGCCAGAACCTGTGCTCACAATGAGCTTATCAGGTGAGATAAGTGGTCCCATTGCACAAACAAGAAAGGGGCATCTCAGAGAAGTAAACCTAGCTGCCCAAAAGTCACCTGGAGGAGATGGTGAATGGAGGAGCCAGAATTTAAACTCACGTCTATTCAGGCTGCTACAATCAACATCACAGACAGGTGGCTTAAATAACACTATTATTTCTCTCAGTTCTGGGGACTAGGAAATCCAAGATGAAGATGCTAACAGCCTTGGTGCCTAGTGATGGTTGATTCCTGGTTATGTACTCTCCTGGCAGTTGTGGGTGGGGATGGAGAGACCCTTCTACCATCTCCTCTGATAAGGAAATAATCCTATTCATGAGAGCTCCACCATCAGGATCTATTTCATGCCCACAGCCTCATCACATTGACATTTAGATTATGTAGGGGCACAAACATTCAGTCTGTAGCCAACCCCAAAGCTTGGTTCTTTTCCCACACAGCAACCAAGAGTTAGATGGGGATCCTCCCTTACCAAAATGCCCTGGTGCTCCTCTCATTCCTAGAATACATCCAAACTGGTCTCTGCCTACCTCTCCAGTCATAGCCCATATTTCCTGTCCTTGCTCCTTCCTGTCACTCAGTGGAATCACCCAGGCCCTGCCTCAGGACCACTGCACTTGCTATCCCTCTTCTGGAATGCTCTTATCCCATTACTCTGCACAGTTCTCTTACTTTCTCTGATCTCTGCTCCAATGCCACTTTCTCAGGGAGGCTGTTGCCAAGGACTCCATCTAGAAGAGACTCCAAAAGTAGCCCTCACCCTACACTTAATGTTTCTGAGCCCACAGTCCAATTCCAAGCACTCACCGGTACCTAGGTGCATATTCTTGGCCAATTACCTGCTTCCGGTCAATGTCCCACTAGAATGAAAGCTCATTCCCTGTTGTATCCCCCACGCCCAGGTCACAGACATGCAGCCAGTGCTCACAAAACTGGGTTTTTGTGTGGCTGAACACCTTCTTTATTCTCTGCTACTCTGATCTGGTCCTTGCTCATGAAGTTCTGCTACACAGTAGCTAGGTGACTTGGCAGGTAACTCCAGGCTTCAAGAGAAACACTGTGTCACCCCTTGCTCTGGATTTGTGAGACTAGAAGTTTGTGATTTTATCAGAAAAGAGACATTTAAAAGGCAACGAATGAAATAAAAGATAATTATATTTCATCAAAAAACCCTATAAAATGATCAACTGTTTATTGCTAGAATAGGCAATTAGTTCGTTTAATACCTCCCAGCAGTTTTTCAAAGCAGACAGAAATGGACACTTATTAAAGGAGTTATAAAAAGCTGTGTTATCTGGCATTTAACAAACCAAAGGGTTTTTAAAAGGGAAATTTCTGTGATTCCACCAATACAAATCCCTAAGCTTAACTGGGATGAGGTGGAAGCTAATCATAATCCAAGAGAAGATTAGTATTCAATGGAAAAGTTTCTGGAGATAAAATTATCTGTTTGGGGAACTTAATTTGTCTTACTTCATGTAAAATCACAGTCCTGCCTCAGAAGCATGCAGGGCAGGTTCATTTTCCAGAAAACATTTTATATACTACAATGGCATTTTGAAATATATCTACCTCTTTTTTTTTGGGGGGGGGGGTGCCAGGGATAGAACCCAGGGCCTCGCACACGCTGTTTAAGTGCTCTGTACCTCTGAGCTGCACCTCTGCCAAGAGCACATTTTCAAAATTCAGTATTTGAGTTTTGTTTTAGGAGGTCTATTTGAAGGTGTATCTGCATGTTGTTTTAGTTGTGGAGATTCCCACTGGCATCTGAAGGCCTTTTGTTTGCTGAAACTTCTGAGTGTCTCTCTCATTTTTATCTACTGATAATGGTCCTTAATATATCTATCACTTCAAAAGAACTTTTGGCTTCAGGCCTGATCAGGCTCCAGGGTGAATACCCAAGAGATGAAGCAATGGTCTTCTGGGAAAAGTTCAGCTCACTCCTTAGTTTACAAGAACTTTTAACTAACCAAACACCCTTGCTCTCTCACCAGGTGGATGACAGCGAGGCTTGACTGTAGCAAATACCAGGACAGATCAAGGCTGCCGGCGCTTTCACTTCCAAACAAGGAAGATTAAAAGGGTTCGCATTCATTTTTGAATTCTAGTGGTGGCCTTAGTAAGGGAAGTTGTAGAGAAAAATTAAAAGATGCAATGGAAAGTCTAGTGGAGGTGTTAACTTGGGGCATCATCCTCACAAGTATGCTACTTGGAACAGGAACAGGCTCCAGCACTGTACCAGCCCTCTGTAACGCAGAACACGGTACTCTGAATTTCCAGATTTCTCCCTTTACTATACTGTACTTGGCAATTGACTTTAAACATTTCTTAATACTTAGAATTAGCATCCACCTATTTGCATTTTTTAGCATCATTGATGAGTTTATCTGATCTTCAAACATGAATTTTTATCTGGCTTATTTCATAACCCATGCTAATAATTTATCATACAACACACTAAAAAAAACATGTTTTATGTCTTGAGTCATCTTCTAACGGGTTTTTAAAAAGTAAAGACAGAGGGGGGAGGATACAGGTTGTTTAGTGATATTTTCAAGCATTACTAAAATTTTTGTGCCTGAGTAAAAAATACGGGAACATGGATCTCTGGCCAACTGATTAAATTCCAACCACATTCTCTGTTGCACATGAATATTGTTACTTTGTAATTATTTTAATGCAGTAATCATTTTAGGGTCCATCCCTATAGAGTCTTGGCAAATGTAACATTTATCTTTCAAGAATTCATTCTTTCATCAAAGAGCCATAATTCTTCACACTCTGCGGCCGTCGAAGACAAAAAAAAAAAAAAAAGACATGTCACGTACAGACTCTAACCAAAATGTGAGCATTTTCATGATATTCAACTTACTTTTTCATTCCACGCCCACAGTCCAATTCCAAGAAATGCTATTCCCAAAAACTGAAAGAAAGAAAGAAAGAAAGCAATGTCAGTATGAGGGTGAACACTGTATGTTTGCTAATACAAATAAGACTTCAATCAATTCTTCTGTCACTTCACCTGATTGGAAAATGGCTTCCTCTAAATCACCTTTACCAGGAAAAGAAATTCCTTAATCTCTCTGCCTTCAATTATTACAACATTAAGAAGGATGCTTAGAAGTCATTCAATGTAAAGAATAATACTTAGGTAGAAAGGTAGACCCCTACCCTATACTGGGGATTAAACCCAGCAGCACTTAACCACTGAGCCACATCCCCAGCCCTGTTTATTTTTTTATTTTGAGACAGAGTCTCACTAAATTGCTTAGGGCCTCACTAAGTTGCAAAGTTTGGCCTCTAACTTGCGATCCTTCTGTCTCAGCCTCTTGAGTCACCAGAATTCCAGGTGTACACCCTCACAACAGGCATTAGGTAGAATCTTGAGTGAAATCAGTTATCAACAATGCAGAATGCTACTTCTGGGGGTAGGAGAGAAAACTGTGGTATTCCCATGAATCTAAGCCTGACATTCACCGGAAAATGGACAAGCAGCGCCTGAAGTCAGAGGAGCCACAATCCTCTCCTCTCCATCATAAACGGCAAGGGCACCCAGTTCCCCTGACAAGTTCTTTATCACTCCTTCAAAGGCAACAAGAATCTGATCAAGTTCAATTCCTAGACTCTTTTATTTTTCAGAAACTTAAATTACTTAAATTGTAGGTCAGACAGCTTCCCTGCCTCTTCCTGGTCTAAACTCAGTCCTCCAACTCCACGCATCACTTGACGCACCAGCCCAGCAGAGGCGCAGCTCGTACACACCACACATCTCACAGTGCTGCCAATTAGCTGCACTGAGGATGGGAAAGCGGGTGACAGGAGGGGAGCAGCTGATAACTGGGAAGACTTTCCACTTTCATTAATTCTCACTGTATCCCATCGGCTCTAAGATGCACATTTTCCTCCCTATATCTTAACAACTCTGAAACTGGAATATGTCTTAAAGTTGATGGTATCTTATAGCTTGGTCCCTCCCCAGGATAGTACTTAAAATAATGGGGTGTCTTATCACCGGGATGCCACGGATTGGGTGGCGCACTACTCAGGGCTGCCCACCCACTGGGGCCCTGCTTGGAGCTGGTGTAAGTGGCTATGAGGGAAGATTCACCTCCCTCCTCACCTTCGCTGTCAATGGTGACTCTGGATTTCCTTTCCAAACACTTAAGTGAACAGAGAGTGAGAAGGTGACAAGCAGGGGAAGTCTGATGGAGGCAGCACACACTGTTTGTTTTATTAACATCTTGATTAAGTTAAATGTCAGGCCAGCTGTCCAAGGAGAGGATTTGCAGAGAGCATGAGAGTGAGAGTGGTTATTCTTTAGGGTTTCAGGGAAATCCGAGAACTGTCCACCTGGAGGGGGCTTTGCTGCTCACAGCAGGGAGTTACTGACATTTTGGAGGCAATGGCTAATAAATCCAAACCGGGGTATGAAAATAGTAGGAGTAGAGGGAAAGAGGGGACTGAAAGAAGACAATTAACTACTCTGAAATGTGGCCGTGTTTTTAAAAGTAGAACTTCCCAAAGCTCCCAACAATTATCTGACAATAAATAAGAGAGTAGGCAATACATACATAAACCCCTATCACAGAAAACCTTCAGCATGTCCTTGATCTATAAAAACCGAAGACCCTGTTCTTCCAACCCTTGCTCCTATAGAATGTTTAGAAATAATTCTTGTTTTCATCACCCTGGCAGAAAAACTGTGGTCAGAATGCTATTTCATGTGTGATTTCGGATCCCAAACAGCAAATGTACCCAAATAAAACAACTCAGTATGTTATAGTCGTACTCATAGTGTTTTATGGTCATACTTATCATGCAAATAGAGGATCAACCGACAAGTGAACACACAGCACTCCACAGAACCTAAACAGCACCAGCGTGCACAGCTGAAGCTCTGACTTCACTCACAATGACATCAAACTCATCCCAATGACATGGCGACTTTTTAATGTGAAAGCTCTTCATGGACAGTTGTTTGGTTATCTCCCCTGATGCAACACATAGTCCCTGCAAGCAATGGGTGGGATGTGGTGGCAAAAGGCATAGTGGTCAATTGTCCCTCTTGATGCTGAAGAGGGCAGAAGGTTACTGGTGAGGGCCCTTATCTAATTGCCAACATTTGTTTGTGTTTATTAGTTACCAGGAGCTGTGCTTAGTGTCTTGTCGGCAATACTTCTAAACAATTTCATTTTGAAATAGACACTATTTTTACCCTCTGTTGTAGGAGAGAGGAAAATGAGGCTTAGAGAGTTTGCGTAACTTGTTTAGAGGCACAGAGCCTCTAAGTGGAGGGACAGACGTTGATTAAGATGGTGGCACGTGTTCTCACCACTCCTGAGAAGTGCCCATCCCCCCCAACATAAAAGTTGCAGCATTTAGGCTAAAATTACATGGGATATGATTAGTACATCATAAATTCCTCCCCCAGCAAGCAGAGGAGGCATCAAAAAGGTAAAAAAGAGGCAAAAAGTCTTGCCTTCACCTAAGAACTGATTGTAGATCAGAAATTCTCTATATTGGCGCCAGCCAAGGAGGGAAGGAGAAGGACAGAGAATTCACTGGGGGATTCGACTCCCTCCCCTTTAAATAAAATTCTCTTTTCTCTTGGCGCTTTGAAAAACAACTTTTTTCTTTTATGAATCATATAAATAGCGTAGGACCCAATGGTTTTCTACAAAAAGGAGAGAGAAAAAAAATTCAGATTTAAAGAAGACCCACAATTTCCCTTACAATCTTGCTCCAATATTTCCTGCTTTGACTGTGACTTTCCAAACAAGTGTTTCAAGAATTTGGAAAAAGAGTACAATCTTGAAGTAAGGGAAAACGCTGGATACCTAAGCAAGCAAGTGGGGCCTCAACTTGATACATACCTTTGGTGCTACATCACTAGCAAACGCCCTCCCAATTACTCTCAGCCCATATGTTTTGTTTTAAAATCAAGTTGTTCCAGCTCCAAATAATTAAACAGAGAAGAGCCAAAAAACCAGAGACAGGCAGGCAGCACTCGAAGCACATGCAGTTTCCCCTTCCCCACCTCCCAAAGAAAAGGCAACCATAAACTACCAAACTGACCTCATTCTGAAACCTAGAGAGGCTGACTTACAGGGAACAGCTGGGAACTCTTCAAGGCAACTCTTTATTCCTTTCAAATGGAATCAGAAATAATTCGAAGACATCTTCTCATTTGGCAATACATGCAAGTGTGCATTATGAATGTTTGTCCACCCAATTTTTGATGTTTCAAAATGAATAACAATAATTTTGCCAACATTGGTTGAATGTTAGTATGAGCTAAAGTATGTGCGGGTAAATGTTGCATTTACGCCAGATTTGAAGCTATAATATGAATAAAAAGAATGTGAAATATCTCATTGTAGTTGTTTTATTATTGATTACATGATGAAATGATAATATTTTGGATCTCTTGGGTTAAATTAAACATATTATAATTTATCCTGTTTCATATTCGCACTGAGAAATGTAAATGACATCTGTGGCTTGTGTTATATTTCTATAGAATAGGACAGCACAACAACCCCATGCAGTAGGTACTGTCACCCCATTTTACAGATTACAAAATAAGCTTAGGAATACTAAGTATTTTACCCCAAGATCACACGAGTTGGTGCCTGAGCAGGGTGGCTCGAAAAATCTGACTCCTCCACACTAGCTCAAAACTATTAGGGTCCAGGTCGAGTATTCCTTACTCAAAATGCTTGAGACCACAACTGTTTCAGATTTCAGAGGTTTTTTTTTTTTTTTTTGATTTGGGGACATTTGCCCAGACTTCACTGGTAGAACATCCCTATTAGAAAAAAATTCTGAATCATGATATCATGTTGGTGCTGGGGATGCTCAAGCTGTACTTCCCTAATGTGCATAAAGAATAAGCTCAGGGATGGAGAAGTGTAATGACTCTCATGCCCTAAGACCCTAAGTAGCTCCTTTAATGTCCAGGGATCAAAGTTATGCTCTCCAGAAAGGAAACAGAATGGTGGAAACAGAATGGCTTGCTGATGAAAGCCCACCAGGCTTGGCAGACAAGATCCAGCAGGGTTGATCTTTGGAAAAAGCTGGAGAGGAAAACAGTGACAGGATGAGCACATCTGCTCACCTTTCTCTGAGCCCACAAATGGAAGATCTCTTCTGTATCTGTTTGTTTTTGTCCTGTCAGACCTCCAACATCTTGGATTCCATTTTTGTGCTACATTCCAAGTAGCACAAAAATGAATACTTCAAAAAGCCACTCATCCATCCATCCACAAAAAACCAAGTCCCTACTTTTTTTTTTCTTCTCCCCTCCCCCACCCCCCGTACTCCAATTGAACCCAGGGCACTATACCACTGAGTTCGGTGTCCAGTCCTTTTGGTATTTTGAGACAGGATCTTGCTAAATTGCCCCAGGTGGCCTCAAACTTGCAGTCCTCCTGCCTCAATCTCCCAAGTCACTGGGATTACAGGTGTTCCTTACCACATACGGTTTGGCTTCTTAATTTGTACTAGATGCTACTTTTCTCTTGAAATAAACAGAGAGAAGAAAACAGATACAAGCCAGGCATGGTGGCGCATGCCAGGTTCAGCAACTTACTGAGACCATGTCTCTAAATAAGACATAAAAAGGACTGGGGATGTGGCTCAGTGGTTAAACGCCCCTGGGTTCAATCCTGGGGGGGGGGGAAGGGGGAGGAGGAGGAGGAGGAGGAGGAGGAAGAAGAAGAAGAAAGAGGAGGCGGAGGGGAAGGAAAACAGATATAGTTCCCACCCACAATAACCTTACAATCCAGTGTGAGAGAGAATAATTAAATAATCAAACAGTAAAAGGTAAAATTGTCCATGATGACGCTACAAAGGAGAAGCATTCAAGGTCAAGGAAGATTCTAAGAGGGGAGTAGATCCAGGGAGTGATCTGGGAAGACTTCT